CCCCGCCACTGGTTTTTTTCATCTTCTTCTTTCTCTAATTTTTTTTCTATTTTTTTTTTTTGTTCTCCCCTACACATTTCTCTTTATTTCTATTTTTATTTGTATTTTTATTTTTATTTTTGTTTGTAGTTTTTCTTCTTCTTCTTTTTCACGTATACACGTCGTGCTACGACGAATATATGATAGAGAATATACAAGAGTAACAACTGCGAAAACGTCATTTCCATTTTCTCGTCATTTTATTCCGAAGGAAAAAAACTATTCTTTACTCTACCTTCGTAAAGCCTTTTTACCTTTCTTTACTTTACTTTACTTTACTTTTCTTATTCTTTCCTCTTGCTTTTGTATTATTTCGTTAGAAGTATCAAGAGTATGTTGGATCATGCTGCGAATGGAAACGAATATAAAGTATCGTACGTAACGTCAGAAAGAAACAGAGAAAAAGAGAGAGAGAGAGAGAGAGAGAGAGAGAGAAATACATTTTCTTTCCTTCCCCCTTACCCTTTCACCCCACACCAATTTTATATATTATATCGTAAGTAGTATCACCATAACGCTTTTCCCAACGAGATATAGTATTGTATATTTAAAATAAAAAATAAAACAAAAAAAAAATATTCGAAATATTCTATTGGTAAATGTTAATTTCAAATAATTTAATATAATACTACTCTTTTCGTTGAAGTATAATTCACGATTCATCGAATTATTAAAGTATTCGACAAAAATTACATTTTTTTTTTTTCACTTATTGAACACGGTGTAATTTTTATTCAATAGGTATCCGTATGTGAAACAAAAATCTATATATACAATATATACATATATATATAAAAAATGAAAAAAGAAGAAGAAGAATTTTCTTTTGGATCGATAACGTTGCAGAATGGGAACACATAATACATAGATAAATAGCACACACACATAGTGTTACGTAATACGTTAATATCTTTAACATGCCCCCCAACACGTGCACAAATAATATTTTTTTTAATCTGTCTAATGAATCTTATATCTTGTATCTTTTTTATTCCCCCCTGTTTTTTTTTCTGTTTTTTTTTTTTTCTGTTTTTTTTTTTTTTATTAAGAGAAGGGAGAAGGTTTTCTATATACTGACAATAAGTCACAATCCTCGTTACATAAAATCTACTTGAGTTAAGCGTTATCGGAGACAGTATCATCGACCCGTTCTCTCTTTATCTCTCTCTCTCTCTCTCTCTCTCTCTCTTAAGAAATAAATCCAACATGAAATAGTAGTTTTACCACTCACGTCTATCCTTCTCGTTGATAAAGTAGATTCTTCACAGCTAAGGAGAATTTATATCGCTTTTCTTTTTCGAGAATTTTCGTTTCTAATGTAAGCTTACACGTTAGACGGAAACTGTCTGCTTGTCTCGACGAAAATGATTAATCTTATTGTTATCTCAAAATTCAAAATAAAACCAAATTATTCTCGATTGGTTTTATACGTAAATATATATATATATATGTTACCGTCATAGCCGATAATCTGCCATTTCTAGTAATTCCTCGGCATTCTCATCAATGCAAAGAGCATTCCGATGAAGTCGGAAACAGAAAAATTCTTACAGTTTTTCCTAAGCATTGAACATAATACTTTGATATTCAGAAACTTTTTTTAATATACAGAAACTTTTCAAAGAAATATCAGAGATTGCAATGCGGTAAATTGTGCATCTTAGCAATTTCTTTGAAAAGTTTTGGTAAATATTTTTTATACTATAAGTGAATAAATTTTAATGAAACTTATATTAAATTAAAGTACATTCTTTTGTCTACGCGTGGAATACCATATCGAGATATAAATTTAGCATGTTAATTTTATTAAATGTTAGAGAATGCAATGCTGTAAATTGTGCATCTTTGCAATTTCTTTGAAAAGTTTCGGTAAATATTTTTTATACTTTTAGCAAATGGATTTTAATGATTTTTATATTAAATTAAAGTACACTCTTTTGTCTACGCGTAGAGTACCTTTTCGAATTATAAATCAATCTGAAAAGGTTCATAAAATGGCAAAGAAAAGTTGGCGGATCAGGCAATGTGAGCAATGCCTAATAGCCAGGCATTGTTAACATTACCGGCCTAGGTTCCAAACCTCCCCCGGCAATGCTAACAATGCCTGGCCTTAGGCAATGTTAACAATGCCTGACACGCCAATTTTTCTTTGCCATTTTATGAACCTTTGCAGTTTGATTTATAACTCGAAAAGGTACTCTACGCGTAGACAAAAGTGTGCACTTTAATTTAATATAAAAATCATGAAGATCCGCTTGCAATAAGTATAAATAATATTTGCTGAAACTTTTCAAA